CTGCGAAACAGCACCAGGTGACTTTAACCATTAGACCATCACACCCTAATAGCTTTAATTTTGTTGATATCCTGATTTTAACTGTTAGTGAGGATGTTTTTCATTTTAGAATATGCATCTTTCGCCATAGGAGTATATTTTTATTTTTATGTCTTGTATATATAAAGATTTTATTTTCTATTTTATTTTTGTAACATTGTAATTGTTTTGTCTGCAAACCTGTGTCATAAACTTTAAAGAAGCAAGCTCGGGTAGAAACATGCCACTCAAAAATGCTTGAGACTTTAACATTAATCTTCAACATTTTATTTATTTACGAATTTTAAAAGATGGCCGAATCAACACAAGCATCAATCATTCAGACAAATGAAAAATGGTTTCCTGATATTTTTTTCTGTTGAAAAATGACTTTAGAATATTAAAACGCAGAAAAGTCGCTTGTTTTAAAAATGCTTTCGAAAAAACAGCAGACGAGATATAAGAAACATGAAACGCAGGTGGGTCGATGTGATTGCATCTACGTGTAAGCCATACATCACCTCCTTAAGTGAGAAATCCTAATCTGCTCATAACACACACATTCATATACATATCCGCATACACACTCGGACACATACACTTACATATACACATAATACACATGAAAACAAACAAATATTTATGCAATCATTGCATTCATATTGATGGTTAGTTGGTAGGATAGCTAAGACAGTAGAGTTCTCAACTTATTTTATTAACAAACGTTGGTGCCGTCATGACATTGTTCAAATACAACCCATTCACTTGAGAAGAATGACTTATTGTGTCTGTGTGTGTGTTTGGTTTGTTTACGTGCGTGTAGAATATAAAGTTTTTGCCATATGAAAAGAATTTAAAAATTATTGCGTTAATAAGAAATTTTTGAAAATGTAAAGCCTAATGAATTTTTAATGTACAACCGTAACTGTGTAATTGTCTTATCTACAAATAAAGCAAAAAATATTTTTAACACTCTCGCTTATAACGTAATATGAACGCTAATTTTAGAAGCTAATTTTAGCAGGAGTTGAAACTCCAATAATAGCCGTAGCAGCAGTGGTGGTTTTCAAGCAAATTGATATTAATAGCTACATACAATAGGTACATGGAGTATAAAACCTTGTTACATGCTAAATGCAAAATTACCCCTACTTAATAATTGCGATGTTAGGACACAGAGCGTTCTATTTATAACTAGGCGATATCATTAGCGGCCAGGCAGCTAACTTGTATTAATGAGAAAAAAAATGTTGATGAGGCTATTTATTAATGATAATGTTGCTTGCTTTTAGCGTCGTGTTTTTTCAAAATGAGTCTGATGTATTGAAAGTTATTAATAAAACGCTTTAACAGTAGCAATAAGCTCTGTGGTTACTTTCAGAACGTGGCAGCTAAGTTTATCTTATTTACGGGAGTCACTCTAGATAGCGAGTCATTATTTTTTCAGCAAAGTACCAAACACGAAAAAGAAATAACGTTATAGGTTTTTGCGCAGTTTTATATTTACCATGGCTTCAGCGAAGCTCTCCTAAAAATTTGAAAATTTTTCTGATGCCAAAAATTTTACAATCTGAATAAATAAACATCCGCTCACTAATTTCGCATCAGTCAAAATTATTTTTTAAATTAAATTTTCGAATTGATCCATCGTAGATTAGAATCTGATCAACGATCAACCTCTTTAAAAATCTTTTGCATATGAACTATCCAATCCAGCGCGAGATGACTCAGTGCCAACCATAAAATTTTTTTCATAGGAGGCGTATGTATATCTTTTAGAAATTTTATAACGATAAAACTACAGAAACAATTTTTAAAGAAGCAGAAGGTTGATTTAATTTGCGGTCTTCCCATATTGCCTAGGTAACTGCAGACAAAAATATTTTATTTCCACTAATCCGGTTTTTTCTTTGTTCTTTATTGAAATTTTTTGATGGAGACGAACATAAAATAATTTGATTATTTCATTTAATGAGTTTCATGTTCGTTTCACATGTATATAATTTAGGTACAACTAAACACACAATACAATTTAACGCAGAGGTTTTCCAGTTATTTATTATAGGATGAAATATTGCAAATGAAAGCAAGATCCAATGAAATAGTCTTTAAAATCGTTGATATTTTTTATTTTCTTACGTTATTTTAAAATTTTAAACTGCAGAAATTCTGCGGACAAACAAAGAAACTCAATTTATCTCAAATTAAACGAACTATACGAAGAAATAAATTTGAATCTTTTTCTAGAAACAGCATTCGTCAGAAGTTAGAAAATAGTTTCGCAGAAAAAAGATTCCAATTTTTTTCCTAGAAATAATAATTTTATTTTTATAATTAATGAGAAAATAAACTTTTAAAATTCTGAAAATTGAATCTCTCGCTAGTAAAAGTCAGTTTCCTTTTCACGCAAAGTTTTCGATTTCTCCATATGGATGTCTTAATTCGTCGTAAAACCAGCTAAAATGAAAAATTTACCTCATTTTAGCTACAAGAAATTCAACAAACACACACACCACACACACACACACACACACACACACACACACACACACCAAACAAACAAACAAACAAACACACGCACAAACAAACACCTACAGACACAAACACACCCGATAAACATTTATTATCGTTAACGTTCGTGAAAACCAACAAACATCCCTTCGGCTAATGATATTTTTCCTTTTTTTTTTTTGAAAAATTTGTAAAAAATATTGGTAAATAAACAGAGTATAGTAGAATTTAAACAGAGTGCGGTAGAATTAATAGAAGGTTTTCAGTGAGAATATTTTAACGAAAAAAAAAAATAAAATTTATATAGTAATATTGATATTTCCGCTGCTGTTTCTATTGAAAATTTTAATTGAAGTTTGTAACTGTTAAGGTAGTAAAGAAGAGGATATGGTCATAATGAAAAAAGTGACGACGATGGTTCCAATGGTAATGATGATGATGGTGAAGATGACAATAATATGGATGATAGTGAAGATGATGACGATAAAAATGGTGATGACGATGTCATTATAATGATGACGATGATGACAGGACAATAATGATAATGACGACGACAACGACGATGATGACAATTATGACGATGATTACATTAAGAAGGATGATAACAGCAATGATAATGGTGAGAAAAATAGTGATTAAGTTGACGGTGATGACAATTATAATGATGATGAATGACACTAATGATATGTTTTCATGATAGAAAGATTAGATAGAAGGATATAAAACTAATCCAAATGAAAACTATACAAAGTTGTGATGCTTTCACGTCAGACTTCTGTCGGTAGTAATAAATGAAATGAAAAAATGTTTTTTGTCCTTTCTTATATTTTATTCTTTTTGCTTTAAATTTTTCATTCTTTTTAATTATTTATCGTCAAAATTAATAACTGATCAACATTCAAATCATTATCATCACTCACGTCATCGTCGCCATCGTCATCATCGTCACTATTTTTTGTCATCATCATCATTGCTACATGATCATAATCGTCATTTCTGATTTTTGTTCTTACAAATCTGTCTTTAAAATTTATTCAGGGGCACTCAGGTGCATCAACAACAGCAAACACAGAGTACATTTATATGCGTGTAAAATTTCGCCACATACACATTGCATGTCACGGGCGGGGGTCTACATGCGACCGAATCCGATCACTGTAATAACACTGCCAGGCACTTTACCGCTACACCATCGCTTTACCTATAATCATAATTATCCTATACAACATAGTCATTATCATTATTTTTCGAAACATAGGCTCTATTATAGAAAGCTGCACTGTCAAATGTAAATTTATATAGCGTTGACTCTAATTTTTCACACATATTAGACACAGCTTTGTCATTTTTAAGAAAAAAAAAATGTTGAAATAAAAGACCAAATCCATTAAATACCATCCTTCAAATCGTTTGGCCATCTGGCAACGGAAATAGTTTTTTATGACGTCAACCGCATACATTGGAGTCATTGAATCAATAACACGACACGTAGGCTTTCACACATTTTATTTGCTGATTTTCTAACGTTGTTTGTAATGATCTGTTTAAGCTTTGAAAGTTTAAGTAATAAATGACTGATCCGAATAGTCACATAGCTTGTGGTTGATATGTTTATAACTCAATAATGAATGAGCGAGTGAATGAATAAATAGATAAATCAATGAATCAATGAATCAGTGATAAAAAACAATCAATAAATAAGAATTTTAAAATGAATGAATTTCAAAATGAATGAATAAATAGATGAGTTGGGTGATGAATATAAATTAAATAGATAGATAGATAAGTTGGTTCTTTAAAAAATCAGCACATCAATGAACTGTTTTAAAAGATTTAATGAATAAAACCAGTTTTCATAGCATTTTTATTTTATTTATATTGTTAAAAAAACGAAACGTTTGAATTTAAGTAATTTATTCAAAAATTTCAAAAATAAAACTTACATTTTTTTGAACGTAAGGATGAACGAAGGAAAGAATAAAGTACAAGAAAAAAATGAATGATGGCAATTCAACTATCGATGATAGGATAGATTTATTGTCGGTAACAACTTCGAACGAAGCAATTAAAACTCAAAATCGTTAAAGAAGCATCATTACCATCATCATCGTCATCATCATCGTCATCATCATCATCTTCATTTTGATAATCTCAATGTCATCGTTATCATTTTATTACAACATTAACATCATCATCGTCATCATAATTATTTTTTGACCGTTTTAAAATAAAAAAAACCCCTGCAATGACACCAGTAGGAATTGTACGTTCAAGTTAATTTCCGAATAGACTGCAAAACTTTTTTAATCTTTATTATCTAAATTTTTTTGAACGAACATTTTTCTGATAATTTTTTTATATGTTGAATTATTCTTCTACAGCACTACATTGCAAACAAGCCAAGAAAGAAAGAGTTGTAACAATTTATATACATTGGAACACTGTGGAAATATAAGAATAAAAAGTTTCAAATGAAGGGCAGTTTCTGCTTCAAGTTGCTTATAAATTTCTTTTTCCTGTGTTCAATTTTTCTCTACTTGATTGAAGGCGACACCTTGAACAATTATGATGACTTGAGACCGAATCTGGAGAACAGCACAAGAGAGCGCGTGCAGACGATGCAAGATGTGGCAGATTCAGCGGCTGCAAACATTTCTCCTAGCAACAACTTCATGTCCCACTCCATCTCCAGCACCTACACCATGTCGAAGGTAGATGACAAAGAAGCCCTGATATCTAGACAGAGGACCCAGGATCACGTGGTCAGTGACGGAGTGACGGGACAGGCATCGGCCAAGTCGCAGGTCATCGAAGGAAAGATGAAGGACAATATAGTGATTGGAACGTCAATTGAAGCGTCCGCCAAAAACGAGCAGTCTTCTGGGATGTGGGATGAAGACATTAAGTCAACTTCATCGGCAAATGATTTTGAAGACGATGCGAGAAAGTTTACTTTTGAGGATTTTAGCTCCCCAAATTTGAATAGGTTTATTAATTTTGATTTTTTTAAAGAAGATTTGAGAAAAAAACGCAGTGTGGACGTCAGTGATGTGGCAGGTGCAGCAGGGCAGGATACGCAAAATATTTACTTGCGTCACAAATTTAACAAAGACGATGTGGAGCAACAGATTAAAAATTATGAAAAAAACAATTTAAAAACATCCGCTGACAGCAAAAAACACAGCAGTGACGACAAAAGCCACAACGTTGGCGATAGCAACAACAAAAAAACTGTCGATCTAGTCAAAAGTTACATAACACTTCAAGACGACGAGAATAAACATTTATTGAAAGCTCTAGATCTGGCCAGTCAGCTCGAATTCAAACAGTCTCGCTACAGTTTGGACGAGCACAAAAACAACTTTAACGATAAGCGTAATGTTGAGGAAGAGCAGGAGGAAGATGGCGATCAAGCTGACAACGGCAGGATGGTGCAAGAGGAAATATACCACATGAACCAGGCTCTCAAAGATGAAAAAGCACTGACGCAGTTGAAACAAATGATGAAATACTCCACTGAATTACAACAACAACAATCACAACAACAACATCAACATCAGGATAATGAACAAGACGAACAACAAATGATGAAGCGTCAACAGCCCGATCAGTTTGTCTACCGCTTACCACTAAGGCATTTCCAACAATCCATTGAATTTTCACCATCATCATCATCACCCCATGCATCATCATCATCGCCATCTTCATCATTAACACCTCTGAAAAAATATGAACTATCTACAATTCCAGTGAAAAAAATCTGGAACATTGATAATGATGGCGTTGAGGAAGATGAGGAATATGATAATGATGACATCCGTAATGAGGACGATGACGTTGATGGCGAGGATGAAGAAGATGATGACGGTGATATGTTCTCAAAACACCAACAGCATGTGATGCAATATCCAAATGAGTTGTCACTGTATCGAGGGCATCAACTCCAACAACAACAACAACATCATCAACAACAACAACAACATCAGCAACAACAGCAGCAACATCATCAACAACAACATCAGCAACAACAACAACAACGTCATCAACAACAACGTCATCAACAACAACAACTACAGCATCAACAACAACAACAAAAATATTCAGAAAATTTTTTATCCGCTTTTGACGACGCCAACAATTACGAACTAACACTTAAAGCCCACGGTAATTAATTATACCATATTTATTAACAGTGCTAGCATTATTAATGATAATAATAACAACAATATAATAGTAATTTGAACTCTTTTATTATCAGAAAACATCAAGACTAATCAAAATAAAATCAAAATAAAATCAAAATATTAATTGATTTTATTTTATTTTGATTTTAATAATTATTATTTGATATTAATAAAATATTAATTATTCATTAATAATAATTATTAATATACAAATAAGAATTAATTTTAATGTACGATCCTCCCAATGCTCATTATCAGTGACTAGTGTATGAAGGTATAAAATATATTTAAAGCATAGTATTTTATGCAATGTTTCCGTCACAATAGATACTATATGACGAGCGAATAACACTATTAAGTAATTTTTCATCTAGAGAAATCGGCCAAAATATTGTAAATAAAGATAAATTTAAGTTGTTTTAGAGACCAATTGGCGAAATTTAAAACGAATTATTGATTAATGTAATGATGATGATGATGATGATAATGATGATGATGATGATGATGATGATGAGGACGAGGATGATGATGATGATGATGGTGGTGATGATGACGTTGACGACGGGGGTAATAATGGTGATGTTACTACTACTACTACCACCACTACTATTAATATTAATAATAAAATTAATTATGACAATAATTTATAAAAATTATTCAGGAACAAAGAGAAATAATTTAATTGACGAAGATGATGAAGATGATGATGATGACGATGATGGCGATGATGACGTAATCATACCAAATGACGTCAACCTCAATAAAGAAAACGTCAACGCATTTTTAACGGAAGGGGTCGCAAATGATAACGCTGGTGATGATAACATCGATAATTATGATGATAATGATGATGATATAAATGAAAGAAATGATGAAGCGATGGAATATTTAAGAAAGATAAAAGAATACAACGATCGAGTTAAATCATATCTCAAATATCAACAGAAGAAGCGCTATATAAATCAATTGGGTGACGTCACTAATCGTAATGATGATGATGATAATGATGATGATGATGATAGAGTTGTTGATGATGATGATGATAGAGTTGTTGATGATGATGATGATGATACTGACGGTAACAGAAAATTAAATGGTAAAGTCGGTCGAGATAACGATGACGATGGTGATGATGATAATGATGAAGTGGTAGATGTTAAAAAGTACAATATGATAAACAGTGATGATGGTGATGATGACCTTGCTGATGATGGTGCTAATGATGATGATGATGATGACGAAGAAGGAAAGATTCGAAGAATGTTAAAGAGTTACAGAAATAAAATGAATAAATATAAAAATGTATTCGTAGAGGACAGTGATGATAATGATGATGGTGGTGATGAAGAAACAGAAGATGATGATGGTGGTGAAGAAAAAGAGGATGATGACGATGATAATGCCAGAAAACTTATTAGACCAGGTAGGAAAATTATTCTCAATATCATATTTAACCTCATTAAAAATATAGTTATAATTATTATTAATATGATGATGAGGATTATGAAAATGGATGACGATGGTAACGTTAATGGTGAGTTGATAATCACAATAACAATAATAATAACAATAACAGTAATAATAACAGTAATAATAACAGTAATAATAATAATAAGCAGGACGGTTGCTCTATAGGAGCCAGGCAAACATTCCGTCAATGCAAACCAATAAGAGAGGTTAGTGAATGAATGAAGGATAGAATGAATGGAATTAATGATGAACTGAATGAAAAAATAAATATATTATATTATTATTTTATATTATTTTATGAATATTATTGTTTATTTATATTGTAATTTCTTTTTGTTCTCAGAAAGACCAACACCAAGCGAGGATGATGACGGTGATGATGACGCTAAACACTTAAGTAAGTTCATTCGTTCGTTCGTTCGTTCGTTCGTTTGTTCACTCATTCATTCATTGTGCTGAACTTTGCAAAACTGCTGTATAAATTTTAGATGAGAGCCAATTTGGAACAATTGAATACAAAAAATTAATAAAAATATAAAAAACAAAAAATTAATAAAAAAACAAAAAAATAAAAATTTGGAACAATTGAATACAAAATTTAATTGGAAATAAATTTTTGTTCGTGCATAAATCTGCGAGAAACAAAAGTCCAGACAAAAAAATTTTAAGTGTACCCGTCAATCCTTTATTATCATTCACTCGCAAATGCTAATTCTCGGTCAATGTAATGACGTCATCATCATCAACATCATCATTGTTTCTGACATCATAACTATGAACATAATCGTAATAATTTTCATCATCGTCTTCGTCATCATCGTTATCTTCATCACCATCATTATTATCATCTTCATCATCATCTACTTCTTTATCATCATCATCATATTCATTTTAACAACATCTTTATCACCATCGTTACCAGCATCATCTTCACCTCCATCATCATCATCTTCATCATCATCTTCACCAACGTTTTACCAAGATGCAGAATCCAGGTGTCCAGCTCTCAAGGAGCATGTTGATAATTGTCTCTATCCAAGGTACCATCATACATAACTTATTATTTTTTAGTTGCCCATCCACACCTTACTTAATTAATCGATTTATTAGTCTGTTCATTCATTAATGCGTCTCTTCTCTTTTTTATTCGTGCATTCCTTTTATTTGATTGCTTACTCATTCATATCTCATTTCATTCATTTGTTTGGTTAAATGTTCATTCATTCATTTATTGTTATGGATACGTTTATTGATTTTTCTATCCATTTGTTGATCCATCATTCATTCACTCATTAATGAATGAATAAATGATGGATGAATGAATGAATGACGGAAGGAATGAATGAACAAATGGATGAATGAATGAATAAATGAATGAATAAATGAATAAACTGAATGAACGAACGAACAAACATATAAATTATTGATAGTAAATGTTGTTGAGTAAGGTTGAACACGTAAGCATGTAAAAAGCTGTTGTACAACAATGTGATGTACGTACGTACACCACTACAACACGCAAATATCATCATCACCATCACGCAGGTTGAACGGGCTGCTTCCAGATTCAGAAGCTGTCGACCTCTGTAATGTGCATCAACTGTGCTTTGTTTGTGTACGTTGTCTGTTGTATGTTGGTTGTTTGTATGTTGCGTGTTGTTTGTTGTATATTGTATGCTGGTTGTTTGTTGTTTGTATGTTTGTATGTTGTTTGTTGTATGCTGGCTGCTTGTTGTATGTATGTTGCGAGTTGTTTGTTGTATGTTGGTTGTTTGTATGTTGCGTGTTGTTTGCTATATATTGTATGCTGGTTGTTTGTTGTTTGTATGTTTGAATGTTGCATATTGTTTGTTGTATGCTGGCTGTTCGTTGTTTGTATGTTGTTAGTTTTGTTGTTTGTATGTTGTTTTGTTTTGCGATATTTTTCGTGTTGTTGTAATGTTTTGAAATTATTTTTTTGCTAAAATATACGTTATTTTTAATAATTTTATATATGAATTTGTTAATTTTTAAGTGCTTTTTCAAGTCTTTCATGTTTTATTTTTGAAATTTTCCAATCGCTGTACATAGTTCCATTGTTGGCGCATATGAACATGAACTAACGTACCTACCCACTCACACAGACGACACACACTACAAACAAACAAACGCACACATACACGCAGACATACACGCAAACATACAAACAACCACACAGGGCGCTCGATACAGCCTAACTCCAACCGACTGCAACAACCAGTTCCTCCAAAAGACAGCCAGCCTGTGTGCCCGCGACGTGAACTGCAACAAGCAAGCTGCCAGTCTTTTCCTCATCATGCTTGGCGATAGGAAGTACTCACAAAGGATCAACACTCCCAGAAATTGCGCTGCTCCGTGTGTCGGCAGGCTACTCATGAAGGCTTTCCAGTGAGATATGAGGAAATGAGAGAGAGAGAGAGAGAAAGAGAGAGAGAAAGAAAGAGAAAGAGAGATTGAAAGATAAAGAAAGTTTGAGGTATAGAGAAAGTGAAAGAGAAGAGAAATGTGAAAATGAGTTGAGAAAATTAAGATAGGGAGAAATCGAAAAAGATGAATATAAATTTGATTTATCATCATTGTCATGTTTCATCATCATATCATCTTTTTCTTCTTTATTACCATTATCTTCTTCATCACCATAACTCTTATGATAGAGCTCCTATGTGAATGAGTTGATGATAACTGATGAAAAGAATTGGTTTTTGATAACAAATAAATGTAATGCTAATGCCAATATAATAATGGTTTAGATGATAAGAACAATAATACTAGAAATGATTAATAGATTTAAGGAAGTCAAAAACTTCAGATGTTTCATTGATGACGATAATATTGATAATACAATGGTGGTGGATATTATGGTTATCAAAAAATTTTTCAAGTCAAGAAGAAAAAATAAAAAATTGTAAGAACCACGCAAACCTATAACCAAGAAGGAAGAACAATGTTTTGCATCGTACATAGACAGAACATCAACGTAATAAAATATCCATTATATTTTATTACTCAGTTTAATTTCCTTTCATTTTTCATTTATGATTTTCAATTAACAAATTAATACTGCCTAATTTGAGGGATTAAATTAAACATTGAGCTAATAAGGCTGCAGACCCAAACACACACACACACACACACACACACACCCACACACCTTTTTTTAATTTAATCGTTAGCTTAAGTGGGTTGTTTAGTATACACATTTGTTCGTTTCTATATGCTTTATTTTTTTCACTTTTATTTAACGGAAAACAAATTTTATTCATAATATTAATAATATCATCTTAATTATCGTCATAATTTATACAAAAACTTTATAATTATTATCATAATTAACCTAATAATAACAACATTTTATTCTGACAAATACTATTAACATAGTCATTTTAATTAATTCGTTAATTCATAGAAGTTAAATAAATCTCTTATTATATATATATATATATGTATATATATATATATATGATATATATATATATATATATATATATCATCGTAAAAAAACATCGTAATTAAGCATTGTGTGCAATTATAATTAAATAAATGTTCTGCATATTAACTGAATATAATTAAATAAATGTTCTGCATATTAACTGAATCTTGTTAGATTCTTCTATTCAATCATGCATGCGTGCCTGTGTGTGCGTGTGTGCGTGCGTGCGTGTGTGTATGTGTGGTGTGTGTGTGTGTGTGTGTGTGTGTGTGTGTGTGTGTGTGTGTGTGTGTGTGGATCTGCAGTCGTAATGGAAATATGAAGTAGCAAAATTAGTTGTAGTTGTAACATCAAAAATACATGAAACAAACATTATAGTAGAAGTTGTCGGTTTAATAGCAGTAGTTTTAATAACATTATTAGTATTAATTAGTAAAATTTAAAACATCAAAGGTCCTACTAGTAACGCCAGAACCGTTCACGTAAATAGTAATTTTGTAGTATCTTACCAGTAAAGATGTGTGACAATAAAATAACTATTTTTAAAATATACATATGTGTGGATATATGTAAAAACTAAAGAAGTATCTTTAGTACTAGAGTTAGAATGTACCTATTATTAGAATGAGTATTCAACAGAATGGAGCAAACTCAAACAGTAACAACGTAGCATTATGACAATGGTGGTATTAAAAATGATAAAAATATCTTGTAGATATATAATTGGTTTCACAAAATTCAGTCACTATTCTTATAAAAATTTTTCAAAATTAAGAATTCAACATTAATATGGTGTGAAAAATGGTAATAACAATAACACAGCAATAACAATAACACCGTGATAACAATAATAACAATAAAAACAAAAAATATTTTAATCTCGACACTGAATGAGCAGTCGTGCGGATAAAAGTTGTCTTATTCAGACACGTTCAAATTATTATTAATCTCAGAAATGAAATAAATTTTTTTTTTGTATAGAAAAATTCTTCAGAGAAAAATGAAATACAATTATTGTTTAGTATGAAAAAACGCCACGGAGACAAAAAATGATGTCATGATGATGATGACGATGATGTGGTGATGATGATGGTGGTGATGATGATTATCAATGATGGTGGTGATGATGATTATCAATGATGGTGGTGATGATGATGATTATGATGGTGGTTTTGGTGATGATGATGGTGGTGATAATGATGAAGTTTACGATGATGATAATAAAAAAGTCAATGCTGATGATGAAGTCTATGGTGAAATTGATTAGGAGAAGAAGAAGATGATGATGATGCATATGATAATGATGGTGATGGTGATGACAGAAACAACGGTGACAATAATGACAATGATGACGATCAAATATCTAAATTAATCATGATCTTAACATTAAAACACCAAATTAAAAGAATGATGGTGATGACGATGATGAGAATGATGATGATGAAAATGATGACGGTGGTGATAATGATGATGATAAAAATGATGATGATGAGAATGATAATGATGAAAAGATGAGATCGATTGCTATGACGATTACGACGATGTTAGTGAGTGAGATAAATCACATAGAAATTTCTTTTGAAGCTGACATGCGTTTGTGTGATGACGTCAATAACTGTGACGTCGACGATGACGTAGCTGTCGCGGCTACTACTGCTGCAGCTGCTGATGTTGAAGTTGGTGATGATGATGATAACAAGAACCGTGATGGTGATGATTGATGATAAGGAGCGGTCGGTGATGGTGATGATTTCAGATTGTTCAACAAGCTGTAGTCTGAATAAAGTTGTTGTCAACTTGTTTATTCTTTAATATACATTTCTTTATTTGGTATTTTATTTTATATTTAATAATTTATCCTTATTATTTGTACATTTTCATTGAAAAATAGTTTTATTTTTTGGTTTATTTATTTGTAATATTCATTGAAAAAATTTTATGTAACCATGGCAACAGCTTGTTTTTCTGGAAACCGCGGCGGATGGTGGCAGCTGATCAGCCCTCAATGATGGACTGAGATACTCTGGTGGAATGAATGAATGAGTGAACGAACGAACAAATGAACGAATGAATGTATGTGTGTGTGTGTGTGTGGTGTATGGTCTCTGATGTCATTGAAGCAAGTGCAGGCAGTTAAAAGTAAAAGAGAATGACCATTAACCTTAATAAACCATTCATATAAAAATGAAAATTGAATATTTTTAAGAACAAAAAAATTAAAAAATTCATGATATAATTTAAATTTTTAAAATTTTTTTTCTCAAATATTTGATTTCAAGTTAGCGTGTATCACCTGTTGACAAGACCCTTCTGCTGCTGTTCACCTTGTCTTGAATCAGGTTACAACTGTGCGTTTTGCCACTATCTTCGCCATTGTGGTGGTTACTGGAGCTATGAATGAGCTTGCTGTTGGTATCATTGCTGTTATTGTTGTAGTGGTGATTGTTGTAAGATATGTTGATGTTGTCAACATTGTTGAAAAGTTTGTGGTTCGACTCAAAATACGGCATGTGCGGTTTGAATTGTAAGGACGCTCGACTTTTTCTGCGATCGTAACTGCTATTTTCGTCGAAGTCGTTAACATTGTTGTTGCTGCTGCAGATCGTATTGTGAAGGTTGTTGACGTATTTGTTGCTGTTATTGTTGTTTATATTGCTGTTGCTGTCGTTTTTGTTGTTGGTGTTGTTGTCGTGAGAAACGTTGATGTGATTTATCTTCAACATAGGCGTGTTTTCATCTGTTTGTTAGTTGTGCGTGTTGGTTTTGCCATGTTGTTTTGGGGGTTGGAAGTTGCATAAATTTGCGTTGTTTATGAGGTTTGGGTCTATGTTTTAATAGCTACATTTGTTAGAAATAATAGTATCAATAAATAATCTTAATGTGTTTTTGATGTTTTGTTTAAAGTATGTTGCATTGTTTGTTGATGTTGATGGTTTTTGTTTAAATTTGATACGCCTGACTTTGAGCTAGAAGTTTCCAAAAACATTTTTATTTCTCTTGTGTTCGGTTTTCGTTGGCTTTGAAAAAAAGTTGCTATACGCGCAGGTTTTACTGTCGCGTTAGATTAATAGAGAGAGTGTTTGTGTACGTGTGCCACGTATGAATAAATAAACGAATTGAGATGTATGTATGTGTGTGTGTGTGTGTGTGTGTGTGTGTGTGTGTGTGTGTGGTGTGTGTGTGTACGTTTGTTTATATACGTGCTGCTGAAATATATGAACATTTATTTTAAAAATTTTAAGACGATTATGAAATGTATGTAATTGGGATAAGAAAATTGGCGTAAATTTTGTTGTGGCCAGTAAATGATTTTCGTAAAGTCTTCAGTGACCGTCAGAAATATAGGGAAACTTTTTCAAAAATAGGATAAAATTTATGACTACGGTAAAAATTGTGATGCGGCATGTGATTGATGTCATGGAGCATCATACATCATAGAAGGGATGTTGAAAATTTTATATGCCAAGTGAACTGAACACTGGCGGAATTGGTTCTGTCAAATAAATTTTATTAAATGAAAAATTTGGAAAGAAATATAAACGTTTTTATTTATTGTTTGTATTTGTGTGTGTGTGTTTGTATGTTTGCGTACATGCGTGTATGTGATCTATTTTAAGTGTTACTTAATGTGAAAATATTTAATATAATTTTTTTTGGTTTAGTTTCAAAAATTGTTAAAATTTAAAAAATTGTCTAGGCTTCGGTGTTATTTTGAATGTTTTTGTTTGTTGTTTTCTTGCCAACAGACTGTTCTCGCATGAACAAATTGTGTATAGAAAGCAAACAAGTAGGTGAACGCCTCGCTGATTTCATTTTTGAGAATTTATCGATGGCTCCATTTGGTACTTCGGATGTATTTTGTGTTATCGTCATGTATTGTGTGGCTGGTACTGCATTGTATTGTGTGGTACTGTGTGCTTCTTCGTACTGTATATTGTTGTATTATATTGTACCTTATACTCGCATGTTTTTTTAATGTATTGTTGTAGTGAATATGTATCGGATTGTATAGTGTATAGTATTGTATAGCTCGTGCTGATGATGGCTGCATTGATTATGATGATGATGACAATGCAATACAATATACAATACAATATTTTGTATATACAATTACATATGATAATGATGACGATGATGATGATATGGACGATAATATCAATGAGAATTCTATTTAACTTGATAAATAATTAAGTGATAATGTTTCTTATTTATTGATCGATGATAATGATGATGATGATGATAAGGATGACGGTGATGATGGCGACGACGATGATGTTGTTAACGATTATGGCAATGTTGATGATTATTTCATTAATGATAAAATGGCTGTTTTAATGCTTTTATCAAATGATAAATAGCCCGTTTAATATGTTAGCAGAATACTTATTATATGAAAATTATCAGCTACTTTTTGAAAATACTGTTATAATACTCGCTGTCGTAACCGGTTTACGATGCGACGGGTTCAAATCTTCGATTGAATAAAATACTCCAAACAGTTATTAAACTTTATTTACAGAAGAAATCAACTATTATTAGTTATTAAACTTTATTTACAGAAGAAATCAACTATTATTAGTTATTAAACTTTATTTACAGAAGAAATCAACTAATCGTTTATTTCCAGTAAATTCGCACTAACGCAACAATTAACTTTTAAATCTTTCAAAATCTATCGCTATGACAACGTCAACAAACAATTCAAATATCGCTTTAAATAATTCACCGAATCGCTATTCACAAAATCACGAATTTCACTAATCACGAATATCACTAATCACGAATATCACTAATCACGAATATCACTAATCACGAATATCCCAATCACGAATATCACCAATCACGAATATCCCAATCACGAATATCACCAATCACAAATATCTTGCGACGTGCGCTTATATACTCTTCGCAAGCGTCGTTTCTAGATTCTTCCCGATGGTCCGATTCCAGCATACTCTAGAACGTTCCAGTCACTAGAACATTCTAGAATACGCTAGAATCTAGTGCGTTCGGTAGCACGGTTATAACATTACCCCCTTCTTAGTTCTGTTCGTCCCGAACAGCTTTCGTTCCGGTGTCCGCATGGTACGGAGCCAGTCTATCCAAATGGACGATCTTCATTCTTGCTCTCGGCTTCCGATATTCCTGAATACGGTAGACGACGTCATTCAAGCGGGTGATGACTTGATAAGGTCCTTCCCATCCTCGCTGGAGCTTTGGAGAACGTCCTTTCTTCCGCTGTGGGTTGTACAGCCAAACTAACTCGTCGACAGCAAAACCGCCACTGCTTCCTTTCAAGTCGTATCTGGTTTTGGCCGCCTCCGTGTTTTTCATAATTTTAAGGCGTACGTAACGGTGGATATGGTTTAATCGCTGTCGAAGATTATCCACGTATTCTGTTAATGGTTGGTGTGGTTCGGGTGGTACGCCATATTTCACATCAGCTGGAGTTCTTAAGGTAGTCCCAAACAGAACTCTTGATGGCGTTTCTCCAGTAGTTGTGTGGATAGCACTCCGGTATGCCATAAGAAACAATGGTATATGACGATCCCAATCCCGTTGATTTTCGTCGACTACTTTAGCCAGATGTTCAATCAGGGTTTGGTTGAATCGTTCCACCATACCGTCAGACTGTGGGTGAAGAGGTGTCGTTCGAGTTTTGTTTATACCTAGCAGCTTGCACATTTCACCAAACAGTTGTGACTCAAAATTTCGACCTTGATCTGAGTGGAGTTCCAATGGGACACCATATCGACTAATCCAATTGAGTACAATTTCCTCAGCGACGGTACATGCTTCTTGGTTGGGTATTGGAAACACCTCAGGCCATTTGCTGAAATAGTCCGCTACAACCAGAATGTAACGGTTTCCATAATCTGATACCGGAAAGGGTCCAGCAATATCTATAACAATCCGTTCAAAGGGGACACCAACATTGTAGATTTGCATTGCTCCTTTTAGCCTTCTTTTGGGTCCTTTGACTGAAGCGCATGTGTTACATTTTCGACACCAGCTCTCTACATCTTCTCTAACGTGAAGCCAGTAAAATCCTTCTCGTATTTTGTCAAGGGTCTTGTTCACTCCTAAATGTCCCCCAGAAGGGCCGCCATGCATTTCATCAAGGATTTCGGTCGTTCTATTTCTTGGTATTACAACTTGCATGCGGTGTTTTGATCCATCAGCTGATTCCCATTTTCGTTTCAGCAAATCCCCTTCCAAATACAAAGAGTCCCACTGAGCCCAATAACCCTTAACACGGCACTATAT